AGACCCCATCTTAGTCACTTTTGGAAATAACACTACACCTTTTTCACTGCAAATCCCAATCCGGCAGCAAATTCCTATTAGTCTATTACTAGGAATTATCATGCATTAAGAACAAACCTACACAATTGTGTACATAAATATGTGCTGCCAAATCACATTTTATGAAAAATATTCATGAATAATGTATCCTCAAAATCAAAAACAATTCCTTTTGCCTTTCATATCTTTGCTATCTTGTTTAATCAAGGGAAGTAGTTTGACTTTGTTTTAATATTAATTGCCTCTGTATTACTGAGTGACCATCTCCCTCAGAACTTAGAGCTGGGTCACACAAGAGTATTTTTTGTTTGTTTCCATGAAAAGTCTGTCCACAGTAGCATAAAATAGGTGCAAATTTTGTGGATTGCAAAAATTTTGTAAATCTTAAAAGGAGCTGATTTCCCGCTTCTGGGGCTTCCAAATTTTGGCACAACAAACAGTCACCTTTTTCAACCATTTAGCTGTCTTGTGAAGTAAGTCATGCCTGAATAAAATTTCAGTGGGAAACAATAATACTTTGGTCTGCCAGTCTTGTTTGGCACCAACAATGGCAGGATAAAAAAAATTGTTCATGCTCATGTTGCACAGCTGGTAACCAAAATGCAAAAGATAAGTAGGAAAAAAAGATCCATTTTCGCATAGTAATTTGTGCAATATTTTTTCTTTACCTTTTAAGAGCAAGATGTGTTTGTGATCTATGTAGATGGTAATCACTAAAATTTTGATCAAAGGATGCATGACTGTGATGTCACCAAAATTTGGACAATGCTACATTTTTGCCAATTTGTGAAAATTGGAAACCATTAGAATTCACTCTGCTGCAACCTGGCCCATAGTACTGAACAGTGAACATTAACTTAATTTGGAGAATTTGAGGGATTTTCAAAAAACTCATCAATTTTCAGATTTGCCAAATAGCCTTTACTTTCAATCCCCATGATAATAACAGATCTTTAAGACATGCAATGACAAAAACAATTTGTACTTCATCAAAGGCATCAGGTTATTATTAAAATTACATACTTAAAAATTGGTCCATGAACAGCTCATGAAAAGGAAGCACTATAATAAGTGCAAATTACACCACAAAGATAAGCACTTCTTTACTATCTAAGAGTTTGATTTAAGTGTGACATTTTCAAGTGTTCTTTTGTCTGATCCTTTCTCACTGAAAAAGCAAGACGAAAAAAGACAAGCATAACAAACAGATTTGTTGAGCAATTTAAATCATACATTGTCATATTCAATCATTAAAACCAAAGAGAGTCTATTAATAACATGGTATTAGTGAACTATCTCAAAGATAGAAAAACCAATTAATTCTCAAATTTTGACATTTCTTCATTCCTGAGACCAACAGGCTCTCAGAATGTATTTAGTTTAAAAATGATGAGATAAAGGCCAAATTAGGGAAATTCATCCCATTATGTCCTAATAAATGATAAGAAAAAAGCTGACAACACAAATCTATTATACTTATGCATGCAGTTGGTAATTGTGCAGCAAATAAAGAGAACAAATAGAACAAAGTCCCATATCAAACTGTGGAGACCGCTATAAGATGTGAACAGCAAGCAAATAAAAGGAAAATACAGCATCTGACTGATGAATATAGTTCAGAATCATCCAAGGAAAGATGGTTGAATTTATTTACCAATTAGCTAGCCCGAAACACATGAATCTTTTTAGTGACTTAATGATGAGAATGTACAACATTTGCTGATCAATCTTTGTCAGTAGGTTGTGAACAAGCAGGAACTTCTATAACATGTACAGAATTTCTTAATAAATAAATTGATTGGTAAATGAGTTGAATTTACATAAATGCAATTACTTTACTGGCTATTTAACATATGTGGTTGCTGGTTCAAAAAAGAAAACAATATAACAGATGTTTTTCCAAGCAAAATTATTACAAACAACATGAATGAAACAGTTGTGAATAAACAAAGATATTATTTCTTTCAATATTTATAATCACCTGAAAAACGAAAAGAAAAAATGATAAAATGTCTTGCTCTTTCCATAATAAAGAAATATTCACAGCCAATAAAATATTCATAAAGGTGAACTGTCCAGCCTTGCATTCTAAATGAGATAAAAACAGTGACAGACTCAAGGACAGTTTGGATCAGTGAACTTTGAAAACGAAAAATTGTGACAAGTCACAAATGCAAAGTTATGATCTAATGATACACATAGTGAACAAAAAGAGCTAGATAACTTAACTACATTTCTGTTGTCTAATGGTGACTTAAAAACCATTAATTACACAAAATTCGCGTATTGTTTTCAAGGTTTAAGGAACACTCACAAGCCCTATTGACTCTTATTTCATGCAAGAATGATCTCCTGACAGCAAATGCTTCCTTTTTACTTTAAATGTTAACAAATGAATAGAACTTGTGAGAAAGATGCTTCCTAGACTTGCGCTGATCTCAAACTCGTCATGTGAAAAGGAAATACACTATGTTTATAGTTGCTTTGCTTTGTATCTATCCAGCAAAAATCCTGAAAAAATTTTACTGAACTGTGCATTTTTATTACAGCGTAAACAATTTCCACCAGCTGTTAAATTTTTCCCTGTAAATTCTCGTCTATTCCTTATTAATTTACCACATACAGGGAGCCTGAATCTTCTGATTCTTAAGACCCTTTTTGCTACAAGTATTTTGTACACATATTCCGCAACAGAGGAAGACATAACTCAGTTATATTAACACGGGGGGTTATTATTGGCGTTCAAAATAACGCAACCAGGAAAGTGCATAGAGTAGAAACGTCTGTTTTCTAAGAAACAGTTGTTCAAAGACCCCACAAGTCTGGCCGTTTTATGAACGAAGAGCTTCGTCATTCCTCAAAACACAAAAAAGTGAACTTTTTGTACAGTCGTGTTTACAAGTAACTTATTTCAGGAAAGATAACAGAACCTTCTCCTAAATCGCGCGACATTGAAAATCAACAAAAACATAAATATGCAAAATTTTAGAATATCCTTACGGCAGATTCTAAAGCTGTTAAATTTTATTTTACAGATTTTAAAGAGTGACATCTCCAGCAAAAACACTGATGTAAGCTTAATTCATTTAAGAATTATCGCAACGTTATCAAGTTGAAGACCACAAATACACCGTGTGATGTCGACTCAAGTTTCTCTTCACCAGAAAAACGGAAACTGTGTAGTTATCCGAAATCGTCCACTTGAGAATTAAGTGTAAACATACACCAACAGCAGACATAGCAATATTGTTGTTGTAAAAGTATCCAGCTCAATCCATATCAGAATAAAGAAAAATCTTCTAATACAACATTTTCAACAAAGGGAATTTTTTTCCTTTCGCCACGGAAGTAAAAACTGGCGGGAAAAACGGCTTCAAGCGTAGCTCAAGGCATTGAACAACATGTTCTTAGTTTAAGATCGCAGAGTCATCAATAAGAAATGGCCGAAAGCAGAAAGAAAGAAATATACACATATGCAACCTAAATAAATGTTTTCTATGGTGAATTGAAGATTCGTTCGAACCCAATACTAGGATGTAAACAAAAGTTTAAATGAAAGCAGATTTGAGAGGAGATCTGTGATAGCCTGCGATAAATATGCACGTTCGACCCGGCATACGACTGTGTCAGTGCACAAAACTGTTAGATACTTGATAACTGCATTCCGATTAAACTCCAAGATTACGTCCCGTGCAAAAAATATAACGAACATACAAAAGGCATCTTCGAACGAACACTGTAGCTGTTAATTCATAAAGTAATACAAAGTTTTCTCACAGAAGAGCTTTCCCTCTCAGGATAAGGCATAAAATGTTCTGAACAAACTTTTATATGTACATGGATTATCTAAGTTAACATAGCATTAGAAATAGAATTGAACTTACCCTAGTGTAGTCATTGTAACAATCGTGTACCAAAAACTCGCAGGAATACTTGTAAACTTGGTATTAGGGACTACCTTTTCTACATAGTACATAACTGTCGCAAAAATTATTACTGCCATCGACAACGAAAACAACAGGAAGCCCAACTCAGACGCGCAACTCTTCAGTGTATAACCCAAGATGCGGAGTCCTCTTGAATGCCTTGAAAATTTGAATATTCTGAAGATCCTAAATACTCTCAGGGTCACAAATGCTCCACTTATAGAATTATTTGGCATAAAGAGTCCAACATAGAAAGGCAAAATAGCTACCACATCTATTATGCTCATTAGATCTCGAGCGAACTTGAATCGGTTAGGAGCTGCATACAAACGCGCCATATACTCAACAGTAAACACTATAACACAAGCTGTTTCCATCGAGAAAAAAATCTGTTGATTGGCCTCCCCAAAAGTTTTCTTATCGTCTGTTGGAAGAGTTTCTACCACCGTGCTGATCACACTAACAGCAATAAAGAAACCTGTTATGTAGTATGCCAAAGTGGCTGGCCGCGAGCTTTGCGGATTTTGAAAAGCGGTCCACATCTTCTCGCGAATTGTAGAATCAGTGTTTTCTTCCCCATTCTGTGAACCATCTTCCAGTTTATCAGGTTCGAAAATTCTTTCTTCACACTCTTTCTTCCTTTCACGAAAATCCTCCCAACAACAATCGTGTACCACATCTTCAGAAATGCCGAAGAAACAAAGTTCGTCTTCAAAGGAAGACACACATTCTCCCCGCGGGTAGTGCAGCTTTCCATTGCGATAATAATTCAAGACATGGCGGAACAGGTCCGGATCTCGATCGAAGAAGTATTCTTTTGTTTCCGAATCGAAAAAATAGTCCTTTTCGTCACTTCCAAGCAGAGTTTCCGGGAATCGCGCCAACGTATTTTGCCATGTTTCAAACCGCCTCCCACTAACATTGATGGTAACTCGCTCGTCGTTTTTTGGCGATTCTGGCGGAGGTGGCATCGTAGACGTTGCTAAAGGAGCCAAACCGACAGCGGCCGCCCTCGCGAATGGCAGCCATGCTCCTAAATCGGTGGCCATGATTGATTGCGACGGCCTTACATCGAAGGAAGTGATCCAAGCTCACTTGTGAGTCGCGCATCTACTCTGAGCTTAAGAGACAGGTGTATAATGTTGTCGCTCTGCTGACAAACAACCACTTTAATTTATGCCAGCGCATCCACGGATTGATTGAGACTTCGATCTATTTGCACCATTTGTTCGAACGCTACCTCGATTATTCACCTGGGACGCGTTTGGGTTCAGGTTGACAGATGAATGATAATTTCGATCAAATCTTCGATTTCTCGGGTGCTTCGAAATGTGGAAACAAATCGCCTTTAAAATCAATCAAATGTTGCAGCACACCGGGCTCAAATTGCGGCACAGTATTGAGAACCAAGAACCATGAAATTAGTCTTAATCCCCATCTTTTGTTCAGAAGTGAAGTACATAGAGCATTAAATTGAAATAGCTTTAGCACTCGAAGCCTTTGTACTTGTCTAACATCCCTCGCCAGAAAACAAAGTGAAGCACGCTAAAAACACAATTTTTCATCACATAGAGATTGATGTGGTACTAAATTCCTCTTATATGTTTCAGAGAAGAGATACCTAATTGTAAAGGATATCGTTAATTAGCATTGGATTAAACAAATTTAAAGTCAGTAGCCAATGAATTTCGAGAAAGATGACTGTTTGATTGATAGTTTATCAAACATCAACAGGGCATCTATTGTTCGCCTGTCAAACGTTCGCGCCAAATTTGCAAACGGTGCAGGCAAAAATTCTTTATTTTAAAATTTTTTTCCTCGTTACGGTAATAAATTGCGGGAAAAATATAATATCTCGAGAGAAGGGAAGAATATAAGTTTAGAGGATACTTGTAAAGGAGCCTCACCGAAAAATTGACACAAAACCCCGCTTTTGTAATTTTATTTCGATTCGTTTTCGCTTTCGAAGACGCCGTCCTGGTTTTCTGTACTTATAAATAATGGAGAAACCTAAAAACCCAACTATGTCGTATATGAATTTTAAAATAAAGGAAGCATTACATGTAAAGCTTTTTATTTTTTAGTCTCCCCTTTTTCGGCAAAATACTGAAACGGCTCTGAAACGCATTTTCTTATCAACTCTAAAGGAAGCCACCGAAAACATGCAGTGACCTATTGTTCAAAATTATATTATTTTTAAGACACTCTCCGGTTTCGTCGAAAAATACTCATCGCTTTGGTTTCAATTTGTCTCTTTTTGCGATGTCATTAGACAATACCCTGGACTTTCCAACAGTTAAGATACACAACGTTATCGGAGACTGTAATTGTCTACTACGACTTCACAGTAATTTGGTTCCATTACCGACAATGTTTAGTTACCCGGCAAACCAACATTAGCAGCTTGTTCACTTCTGATAGTTTATGGCCCGTGATAAATTTGCTTTGCAAATAGCAACAAGAATTGGGGCTACGTACATTAACTTCTTCATCCTTTCAAATTACTACCAGATCACCATATTGCGCATTTATTGGCGCATGAAAAGTTTCATCTTTTAATGTTCGCATAAAATGAAAAATATAATTTAAATGGTTCTGGAACGACCTGGATGGTCAATGTCTGTCTAGGTGCCCAACCGTTCTGGGTGACACTTTCAAGATACAAGTCGATTTGAAAATTTTAAAACAAAGGAAATCCACTCGAAAAAAAGTCTTTATGGCTATCGTTGTTAAAACTGCTCTCTTTCATACGACAACGGCATCTGTATGGGTGTTTTTACGATATATGTGGTTAAATTCATGTTCTTACTATCAATATACAGAAAGTAAAGAAAGAAAGAGCCTTAGTTTATGAGAAAGAATGATTGTGAATTTTTTTCTCGTAGACCCGTTTTTGAATTGGTTTAATGCCAGAGACGCTGGTACAAAAAGCTTATGTACTGACCGGAAATGAAATGTCACACCTGCTCTCCATAGACTTTTAGATGTGTTTAGCATAAGAATCTTTAAACAAAACGAAAGGTGTTAATCGGTTTTGCAAATATGCCACAACAAAGACTTATGTGGCGAAAGACCTGAGATAATAAGAACCAGGAGCTATTCAACTCTAACGGTGAATCCTTACCACCAAAGATGACATTAGAATTTTTTATTTTTATTTTACCGAATTCAGTTCCCGTGTAACTCATTTCCAAAGTTAGCAGAATCGTCATGTTCCTGTTTTAGGAATTCAGCGTTCATTATAAAGATGAAATCTTGAAACTTTTGCTTATTAATTAAGTCGGGACATTTCTGTCGTTGCTCAGAAAAGATATGCTCAGGGAAGTTTTCGTAATCTTCACATCGAAACACCAGGTGGGTACGCCGGCAATTTCTGTCAGTGCAGGAGTGTGAATATACATCAAAAGAAACATATCGCCTTTTGCTAAGGTGCTGCGTAAAGCTTTGGATTTTTATGGAAACAGGTATAAATTACGACCCGCAAGCATCAATATATTTCAATTTCGACTTTCGCAGTTTATTTCACCACGCCCTATATTTTTAGTTTCTTACAAACCCTCAAGGGCAAATTTAGATCACAATAAACGAGACTGAGTTAGACACTAACGGACGCTTTTACTTTCGTCGCTATCTCCTAATGAGCTGCTTAATGATTAGCACCTGAAATCGATCCTTTGGAAAAAAGAAGAAGTTAACAAAAGTTGGAAATTCTACAATTTACTCTTTTGTAATTTAATACTCTTGTTTAAAAATACTGATGTGGGATTCCTAAAAATTCGCCTGACACATTTCTTATTTGGGAACATCGATGCATTTTCATGAGGGTTTTTATCATCTCGATAAAATTGGCATAATGAAGAGTCGCAATTTGTAGCTTTCAAAACTAATATGTGGTTCGAACGTGACCAAAGATGTTGAAGTCAGTCAACAAACAAAGCGATAAAATATTAACAGAAATTTGCATTAGTACGTGAATTGTTAGCGCATGACTGCCACTTTTAGTAATAAGTTATTTTTGCAGCAACCCTTACGACAGAGAAGAATTCTTTATGGTTAAAACTACAATTATTTCAAGCTATACCTGTTCCTGTTTTGTTTTATTTCTTTCCATTTTTTTTTCTTTTTGTTTGTTATTTAGTTATGACGTCAAGATGACGTTCAGCGTAGGAGTGAAATTAATGCAGGCAAAATGTGCGGTTTTTAATGGGGTTCTTTACCTTTGAAATTTGCATTAGAGATAATTAAACCCAAATTGAAGGTTTTACAGCTCGGCAGGTGGATAGGTAAGGACAATTAATAATCATATCATGTCTTGCCATGGTCGCATTTTGACTTTTCATTTCCTTAATAAAGAATTTAATTGATTCAACCCAGAAATGTTCTGATGCAAAGGTGTTGCGGTGCTACGAAATGAACAGGAACAATGGCGGTGTTATCGAGGCACGTACTTCATCTTGGATGATATACAAATTGTTTATTACATTTGATTAGAAGAGGATCTGTATGCAATGAAGAAATACCAATTCTTTGATATAAAGGAAACAATTTTTTAATCCCTTCGAATGACGCTCTTGAGAATCCATAGCTTGGTCATGCTGTTTATAGGTGACGCTATTACCCCCTTCTCCTCCTTCACCCCATTCCCCCCTCGGATTTCCTCATAACTGCCATCCCCAATTCCGTATGAGAATATTCAACTCGCCCAAGTTAGGATGAGGGTATGGTAAATTAGTGGGTTTATTAGAACTTGTTTCAACTATTGTTCTCATAATGAATTTCAGGTGTTATTTCAAAACTTGTTGTCTATGCAATATAGTAAAAACCAAGAGATAACAAACAGCTTATAATCTCTTGACCGATGATAAGTTGCTGTTGCTGTGTTTGATTTATAAGGAAAATGGAACTGAACTAAACTATGAAACTAATATAAAGTAAAGGAATGACGGAGAAAATAAATTATAGTTACCTCCTCTTGGTTCGCTTCTAAAGTAAATGAGTGTATAAACAAAGAAAGCAGACGAACAGCGAGTAATTAAAACATTGGTTGGGGAAACTCATTCGCTTCAAGAAAAATCTATCCGCGAATGCTTATAGTCTGTATAAAGCTCTGTAATAATCCATGAAACTCTCTCCAGTAATCACTCATTCCTTTCCCACTTTTTGTCTGAAGGAATTGCGAAATGTAAAATACAACAGCGTTTAAACTCAACTGCTTATGTGAAGATCCAACAGTGATGTTGTTTAAGGACGAGACCTCAGTTGTCTTGATTCATCTTCAAGAGTGTTCAATTAACTTGTTACCTTGAATAGGATGCATATATGTCTAGAAAAGCGTAACATTTCGGATCTGTATGAAGCTGCCTGAACAGGCATTTCCAAGCACTCATGATGGTGTCGCGCGGGTGCACAATATTTTTCCCGCCCTGTTTCTAGGGCAAAAGTAACCTCAAAGAGGGAGGAGTGGGACAGTAGAAAGTCCCTGGTTTTTTTTTGTTTTGTTTTGAATTAATTACTATAAAATTTTGCCGGAGTTAGCGTATTTTAAAAGGGGCAATATCCATCCAGTTGCGTAGCTCTGAATCAAGGATAAAAGAATAAGAGAACTGGGCACATGGAGTACAAAGCTGGTCTGAGCCTGAAATAAAGAATAGATCTTGTTTCTTAGAAAGTGGTCCTAGCTTTGAGCTCCCCCCCAGTCCCTCCCACACAGTTTGACCTACTCTAGGTAGCCATGTATTACCCCTTTACTCCATAAAACTAATATTTATGTTCTCCACACAGCTCTCTCTACATTCCATGTAGTATCAACAAGAAGAGTTTGTTTGAAAATCAGGAGTTTCTGAATAAAATTAGCAGTCATTCCTCTATCCTCATGAGCTTTATATTTAATTCAAGGGTGATCATGTAAGGAGAAGTTAGATTCAAGTCAGGGGTAATAAGGTAAAACTACACAACATAGCAATTCAATCTAGCATTTAAGTCAGAATGCTCATAGAAAGGATCTGATCCAAATGTTCCTGAATCTTAAAGCTACTAAAATACCAGTTGTTATGGCTACACCCTTCACCTTAGCAAGGTTTTGCTGACAAGTCACCACCATATTACTCTCAGTTAGGTGCTTAGAGGGTATCAAGCCAGACTTAAATGTTGAACCAAGACATCACATTGACCTTCTACACTTGGGAGGGTAAGTCACAGTAATGAAAGTTCAAGCTGTCTAATCAAGTTTACCACATAAAATTGTCAACTGGGTTTAGATAGTAACTACTTTATTGAACAATAGCATTACAAATACATTATACATGCCAGGAAGCACTAGACAAGTTAAAAAAATAGAAAAATTATTACAAAATTTATTAGATACCTGTGAGTTTGTAGCTGATAAATCCCAATAGGAACTAACTGAGAACTCAGTTCAGAATAAAATAAATATTACAATTGATGTTGCAAAGCTGAATAAATATAGTAAATTAAATTACACCAGCTTGGATGGACCTGTCTACAAATTCAAATGCTAAAAGTTGTTTTGTCAGCTTACACTCATCTGGGCTAGTGATAAAATTTTTTGTTAGACTTCTCTTTCAGCATCACTGAATGATTTATCATATAAAACTGAGAGAAAATATGCCAAACTGTATAGACAGTCATCGAATTGTAGCCATAAGTTTTCATAAAAATTAAATACATGTTGAAATACCATAGGAAAGAGTCAGCAAAAATGTTGTTTTGGGTAAGTTGATGAAAAAGCTGATATTTGAGTTTGAACATCAAGTAAGATATCTAGACATTGCTCGTGTTTTCCATCCTCTTATAAATCGGTTATCACTAAATTGATGAGTCTAAATTTGTTAAAGATCTTATTCAGTTAGCCTTATAACTTTGCATCCTTCCAGGAAAAAATAAACCATAAATTTGGTATGGAATCGTACACAAATCAAAGTTTTGCTTTATTGCTATGCAAAAATATAATCATGCTACCTGTTTTGGAAAGACCCCGTGATTAGGAATAAGGAAGCGACAATAATTCTCACCAGTCAGAAATAAAGTAATGGTAAAATCGTTTGTTTCATACTCTTTGTATAAATATCACTAATTGATTTCGGCGAGCATCTTAGAGCAACAGAGATGTCCATTACATAAGTTTATCTTTGCAGATATTGTGAATGGCATTTTCAGCTCGACATGATAACTAAAAATTCTCAAGCGTTAAGTTAGTTTTGCGCTGATCTAAGGATTTAGTGAGAAATATAGTGTATAGGATTGGTATTCAAATGTCGACTTTACTGAGTGGATGGGACTTGTCCGTTAATAACATGAATAGTGGCGGTTGGAGGTACTGATATTGCAGCAGGACTTGATGGTTCATGCTTCTTTAAAAACTTTATAGCCTGTACTTTTTTTTCTGTTTTTCCTTTAGGACTTTCAAAAACCAACTGAAACGAGACAGAAACAAAGACAAATTACATTGTTGCATAGAGCAAGGTCAAATAGACTTCCCGCGTAAACAACAACAAGCCTACCTCTCCTACGCCAGAAACTGCTCCGACATCTGACACATAATTGCCTTCAGGAATAGCCAAACTCACTATTTGAGCTGGTGGAGCATGAGTGCTAGCAACAGCAATTTCCGTCTGGTTTTCGGAGGGAAACTGATGATGGACTTTTGGTACGACTGCAGCGTTCACTGGAACTGCTGCCACCTCATTCCACGAATGTCCTGGAGAGAACGAATATGGCGTAGGCTGGAGATAAGAGTTTCCTAACACAGCTGTTGTTGTGTAGATCGGTTGAGAAGCTGAATGGGAAGGCTGAGGATACGGACTCTGCGACTGGTAGTGCATCTGTGGGGAATAGGCCGGGACCAAAACAAAGTGAGGCTGTTGATTCATCTGAGAATAGTACATGCTTCCATCGGATGTCGAAAATGCATAATAGCTACCATGACTTGACGTGTCATGCACGTCTTGTCGATGGTAATAGTACTTCCCAAAACTTCTTTTGCTCTTTCTACGGACCGCTTTGCCAATGTTCAAGCTTTTCCCCTCAAATTCAAGGCTTTCTTGGTCGCGGACTTTGTCAGCCACCTCTTGCGATTCGAATGTAATGAAAGCGTATCCTTTACTAAATCCGTTGCGGTCTCGAACGACTTTGCTTTCCTTGACCGCGCCAAATCTCTCAAAATAAGATCTGAGCTCGTTTTCGGTCGTTTCCGGAGAAAATCCTTTGACGAAAATTCGCTTTCCAATGTCAATGTCACTCATAATGTCGCTCAACATAAAGAACAGGAGAAAGGAGGGAAACTTACAGTTCAGTCAACAGCGGAAAATGGATTTGTGGAAAAGCGTGGTAAGGGCGTTTTCCTCTCTTTGCATCCTGGGAAACGAGATCACGTGCCACGTTCTGATCTAAATTTTCGCCTAATCTTTCTAGGTTGCTTTACCATCTTTCAGTTGTGAATATATTTGACGAGAAATTGTGATACATCCCGATCATTTTCACTAGCATTTTAGGCAGAGCAGTTGTTTGTTTATAAAGCTGCGGAGACACGCAGTCTGAAACCGTCAAACCTCTTCATATTTCAGTTGCCAATCAAGGGGAATTTCACTGGATTTCTACGCTGTGGTTTGTCTGTCAAGCGAAAGGTCTTTACGCCGATACGTGTAAAAGGTCTGTAACATGTGAAGCTGGCTGATTCTTTGAACTACTTCCCTGTTTGAGATAACTAACTTTAATAAAGAAAAGTGTTTTTACTTCTTGTGATATGGGGAACTTCCATCAACGAAAGAAGATTTAGCTTATGTTATGATGAGGTACTCATGAAAAGAAGCCAGCACAATTAATACTTTTTCGTATTTTGTTCCGCTCAGTCGATTTGCGTTAAAATGATTAGGAGCGTTCAGGCGTTTGGTTCTTTGTATCATAATCCGTTTTCGGCAATGTTTTCAAGCACATTTTCTGGCGACAGAATGTCAAGATTTAACCGTACAAGCTGATCAAGAGCTTAACTTGATAAGAAGATAAGACTGAAGATTTGTTTGGTTCAAAACGAATCTAAACTTTTTGTGAAAGTTCTCGCAAGAATCTCTAATGCTATTATCTAGCCAAATTCTCAAGCAAATAAATGATGTCTAGAATCATTCAATCTGATTCTACTAAGCTTGAGATTCGGTGAAGATCAGCGGCCCACAGTAATAAGTGAATTCACAATAAGAGGCCAGTTGATACGCTGATGTTGATTTTTTTTACTTCCTGTCACAGGAAAGCCGCAATACTTTGAGGGACTTACTGTGTAAGATTATCCTGAAAATCAATTCTGTATTAAACAAAGGCAGGTCACGATGTTGCTTACGAAACACAACGACAGAAAACAACCAAATTCAAATAGGATATAAGTAGCTTACGATAGAACTCAGCACAGCGGTTTAAAAAGTTTTGAAGAGAGTATGAAATATTTAGAAACAGCATATTGTAATCAATGGCGATCTTTCATGTTGTGCAACTGAAAATCTACCTGTCGCTTTAAATGTGACAGTAAACTGGAAAGCCATTTTCTCGAGAGATAGTTTATACTCTTAACAACTGTCCCGCGTGATTGAATTGCTTTCTTAATGAAAATAGTACAGTACATGACGATTACAAGGTTTGCGATATTTCGTAATTGGAGTGTTAATGTCAATCTGCAGGAAGTCGAAGGAAGTGAGGCGAAGTGATTGAAGCGAGGCGGGAAGAAGCCGTGGAAAAAACCTACGAATTCCAATTGTGTAAGTACACTGAATAAAACGATTGTTTCTAAATTTGCAATTAGCTTAAGTGAAAGGAATAAAAAATGTTGGGATTTAGATAACGATCGCTTGTCGATTGCCTCGCTTTTTCAACGGCATATCTCGAGGACAGTGACGCAATCCTCCAACCATCACTTTTAATTTCACCAGTGAGAATCCTCGCTAAAGGTATTAAACGGCATGTACCTGGCTACCTTACTATAAAATAGTAAGACCTGTGTTTTTTGTCACTTTCTATAATTTTTTGTAGTAAATAATTTATCGTATATCTGTCGCCTATCGTCTTTATTAGAGACGACGAAAATTTTAAAAGCAGAGCAAACGCTGGTCTCTCCGTGTCAAATTCGATTGCTAGTAAACTCCACAGCCACTCTCCATGTCAAACTTCCTTGAATTCGATCGAGTAAAATAACTGAGGAATAATAGGACTTTGTTACTTTCATTTTCTATATTAAGCCTTAGAATAATCAACACATTTGAAATTAAATTCAGGCTTAGTTCGACGCAGTCGTACTGTGGCTGCGCTATGAATGGCTATCAGATGTGAAGTGAGTAACCGCTGCCGCTGAGAAACACGCACTATTCTCGAATCTTCTAGTACAAACAAAGCATTGAACAAAATAGGATAATATTTGAAACTGCTCTTAATTTCATTATAACAATACGGTAATGGCTGACTCCTAAGCTGAGATCTCAGTCTTTCAATGAAAGTCATATAATTGATTGCCTTGATAGTAACACGAAAATAGTTTTTCTTAATCTTGTCATAAATTGCACTGAGTTTTTCACTGGCAGATACGATAATCAGACTGAAGGATACAAAAGCCAATCACACCGAGTTTTAGAAGACGAAGGCAAAAAAAAAGGAACAAACAGCTTCCCAATGACATAAGGCGCTTTGTCGAAAGCGTGCAAAATACCTCAGATGTTCGGGAAGTGAAAGAGATGTTTTGAACCCTGGCAACGACAACTAACAAAGGAAAAGGAAAATTAAAGAGAAAACAGCTGAGAGATGTTTTCTCCTTAAGAAAGTTTTCTTTTCTCATCAACAAAGCTGACAAAACTTAACATTTCTGGCGTCCTATTGTCTTCATTTTGGTTTAGTTAATTTACTTCTATTTACCTTGGGCACCTTCAATGTCGATTTACTTGAGCGAATTTAATTTAACTTGTTAGCTGCTGTTAGTTTACTTATGTGACTAATAACCTCATTCGATCAATTTCATATTTTGTTCGCTTTTGGTTTAATGTGACTAGCATGAACTCTGTGCAGTTTTAGCTGTGTACAGAATAATTCCTGGAGTTCAGAGCGTGTGCTTTTTTTAATATCATATTTTGGGGAAAAACATCCTTTGCAATAAAATTTTTATAAGGTGCTGGTTAGCGAAGAGCCACTTTTTTCATTCAGCTTAGTTAAGTCAGAATCAAATACAGTTCCAAGCTTGTTTTCTTTTCAACTTATTTCAATAACCAAGGGAAAAATATCTCATTTCCTCTTATATAAATCAAATCGCAAACCAGATTTTCTTCTGAGAAACCCCGAAAAATAAAATTTGTCAAGAGAGGGAATCAGAGGCAGAGTTGAACAGGTTGATGGTGTTTTGGGCAATTTCCTTTTTTTCAGTCGATATCTCGAGTCTTTTGATCAAACAGTGCACAGTACTACAAGCTGGCTAAACAAACGCTTTTATTAACTTACTTAACTTTATCTTTGCACGAGAATTAATGCAATCAGAAGGAGTAGATATGGCGGAGCCTGTCACGGTTAGGCATGAAAGCTTCGCCTCCCCTCACTGATACCTCCACAAACCATTAATTTTCGAAGGTTATAATGAATCTTTTTTTTTTTTTTTTTGAACTTACAGTGAAATTCATATTCTTTTGTGGGATTTAAAGGCGACTCTTTGTCTCATCAAGAAAATATTAATCTGCAATTGATATTTCCGCCCTTCCCCCTCCCTCCCTCTCTTAAACCCCTACAGTGGTAGATAATGCGAAATGGGATGAAATATGATTTTGTCATCTGGAAGCTTCTCATTTTATGTAACATTTTAGTGTAATTCTGTCGAAATGTTTTGGTTTCTCAATCACATGAGCTTAAAAGCCGCTTGAGGCCAAATAACCAAAATTAATCAATATTCCCGAAAGCTTGTCATAAATTTAGTTGAATCTTTATTTCTGACATCTTTTACGTGATAAACACAGTATCAATAACTTTAATTCTTTTCAGTTTTAATTCTGATCAAGAAATTTCTCAAAATTGGCTTATTAATTTTTTATAATGCAAGGTAACTCCAAAACAAATAGGAAATTGTGTCATTTTTTCTCGGAGAAGACATCCACCTCTGTACGTGAGCTGACTTTCCACTCAACGATGGAGAGTGGTATGTTTATTAAAGGTAAGTCTTTCACACGAATAATTCTAAGGAGAATTGAATTATTTTATTCATTTATCTTCACAGCAAGGATTAAAAAAGTGTTTGACTTTTCATCTTCACTAAGGTCTACAATCTTTGCCGCTTGTTAATTAGTAATGTACAATAGAACTTGATGTTTCTCATTCTCTGACAACCTCTGTCAGGTAAAATAGGAAAAAAACTGACTCAGTAATAAAACTGCAATCCGACGAAAACTGTGCTGACAGCTTGGAGCGATGAAAATCTTTAATTTTTTTGGTACTTTCATGTCAATTAACCCAGAGAAAGTAATACGGCTTATTTACATTTGATCAATCAAGACATCACAATAGGCTTAAGATTATTTTGTATCAGCCATTACTACATCTTAGCTTAAAAAAAATCAGTATAAATTTTCCATCCCTGATAAGATGTTTTTTGCAGTTGTGACAAGTGTCGTGTTCTGCTTTGCCAAACAAAAGATGAATATCTTCTATTAAAAATATAAAAAACTGACCCCCTCCGGTTGAAAGGTTATCTGAAAAGTTATCAAAATATTTCCTCTTTGTATAGACGTGCTTGTGAATTACAATTATCCTTAATGTGTTTTCCTGTGAGGTAAAGCTTGGAAAGTCTAAAAAATTTGCATAACAGAATTTTTTTTTCCGACTTCTTGGGTAAGGTGCCCTGCAGCCGAAAAACCTCAAGAGGAGGAAAGTCAAACTTGAATGTAATCCTGTTGTTTTACAGAAGTGGAAGGGAACAGAAGAAGCATTACTTACATTTTTACATTTCGGTTATATTCAGAATAAAAACTGCGTAGACAAACTTGATATCCGCTAAATGGGAAACACCGACTTTTTATTCTACGAGTACCATATCCTAAGTTGAGGTGAAAGCGTATGGGCTCAGTTCAGGAATTTTTAGCGGGCAGATCCCGACAAACTGAGCAACAAAGACACTGGGTAACAGAAAGTTTAAACCCTTCATTCAAATTTTTTTGCAACAAACTTGTAAAAAGCGGTGGCTACTATTTGTTATAGTTGGTTTTTTTTTTAACTAAACCAAAATAAAAAAATCTGTTTTTGTGCACAGGTAAGACACGGAACTGTGATATAGTAAATATTTATAACGCTGGCATGAGAATTCACGAAACGATCATTAAGTAGTGGGATAGCCTGTTATGAGGTTACGTTCACTGATTACAAGGGAATCCAGCCGGCGTGTTTATCAGTGAAGGATGTTTGTTCACTGAAATCCAAATTTCAACGAAGGACGCATGAAAGAATGACGCAATATTTATTGAAAATCCACAACAAAACGATGGAATAAACTCTTAGAATGAACTTCACCGATTGAATCAAGACTTTGCTAAACAATGCATTTGAAAGACTTGAATAAAAAAAAATCATCTTCGAATTTTACGCTCGCAATAAGCAAACCATGAAACAGAAAACCTAAGATATTTCTCTTTCGGAGATGATTGACCCTCATCTCTTCAAAACAATTTTCAAAAATTAATGCTAATTTATATGAATATTACGTCTTCAATCTATCTCCCTCTTTTAGTGAGATACCAACAGAACTTCATAAATTTATAACTTAGATTTCGGACGAGATGTGGTATGGCTAAAAATTAATGGTGTTTTCACCATTTTGTGAATAAATACAAACAAAAGCCCAAATTTCGTCTCGAAAGGTACAGTGTGTGTGAGGTGGAGACTTCACACTGAGGTTGACACTCGACTGTCGTAAGCGTATAAGTAATGCATGACTGCCTTGGTAACATTTGAATTTAAAGACACCATCAGTGACACTCAGTGAAGAGTGTTCTATACAGACGTAGTATTTCAGTGATATTCCTGAATAGAGAACCTTCCCAAGAAAAGTCTACATCGATAGTCATTAGGCAGTGTGCTCTGCATGCGTTATTCAATGACATACTCAATAGATAGTCTTTTTCAAAGTCTGTAGGGACAATTAGTAACAAGAGGAGACAATTCGACTTTCAATTCACCATTTACTGAAAAATGTGACGCATTTATCAGAACATTATCGATTATAACACTCTGCTTATTTAATTCATTTAGTCTTCTTGCGCCCGGAGTCGATAACTCAAACCAATATCTTTGTGAAACAATACACATAACAAAACAATTACCCTGCTTAACATAAATTTCCTTTAAAAAACACAGCGCGAACGAGACCCTCAACCAAAAGATTTAAAAACTGATGTATTATTCCTCGTTCCTCGTGCTTTCATCATACGACCCATACGGCCCCGCACGCGTTTTGCTCATAAAAACATTAGAAAATATTTCCAGCATGACAGCTGTGCGCGATGGTGTGAACAGGGCCGCACAAAGCCGTACAGCACCGTGAGCTACGAGCCAAAAGAAGAAGGGAAGAAAAAGAAAGAATTACGTTCATACGATTAAATACTTATTGACTGAGTTTGGTCGGCCGAACGGGAAAATATTTGGCTCTTGGTCATGACGCATGGACCTCGCAGAGCCCAGCAAACCGAGCGCAGCGAGGTCCGTGCCGAGGTCCGTGCTTAAGCCAAATATTCTCCCGTCCAGCCCTCCCTTTCAGTCAATAAGTATTTTATCGCATAAAAGAAGCAGAAATTATGAAAGAATTACTCACATCTATTGAAGATAACAGAAGGACGCTGTTATCTTTTCGAACTGTTAAAGAGGCTCATACCACTTATACCATTAGAACATTTAGGGCAAACGAAACAAGGGCATTGAAAAAAAAGCAACAACTCCGTGCCTTCGAAAAATATAGTCAAAAAGCTCGTTTTGTTTTACAGTCCATTTCATTAATGAAAATTTTTACACCGGAAATAATTAGTCGGTCCGTTTGAATCTCTTTTGAAACAGGGGATACAATGGTTTGGATGTCGTTTTAACGATATAGGAGTTCTCGGCAGGTGCAACTGATAATTTAATGGCACAATTTTGAATTTCTAATCAGCTTTGCGGGATGCTAGCTAATATATTTTTCACAAACCGCAAGTTTCCTTGGAATTAAATTCAACTTAGACCTCAAGCAGAAAGCAATAGTTTTGTAAACAAAAAGAACTCGAAATCACCAGCTAAGGTTTTGTAACCATGAGATAAAACAGTTTTTCTTCGAATGAATCAGAGATGGGACGGGGATTGCTGAAAACGCCAATGGAAACCTTGCTAGTTAACATTCATATCAAGTGAGACTATTGTGTTTTGCAATATTACAGGTGACTCCGCAATGGCCGTGAACGGGATTAGAGGAAACGGTCAGACTCAACCGAACGCTCGAAGAACAACCGTCCGACCACGAGTGACTTTCAAAAAGAATTGTAAAGGTGACTTCATAACTATCAATGTAAGCGGTCGGATATTTGAAGCAGACAATTCTATCTTCAAACAGCATCCAGGTAAAACACAGATTTCAGTTACTGAGAAAAAACGCTTAGTCGAACCGATTTACTTTTGTAACTTTCGATATGTTTCGTAGGAAGAAAGAAGAAAAAAACAGTCCTTCTTTTTATAATCGTACATTGTTTTACTTATTCATGTACTGGGGTATTTTTTAAGTATTTCCAAAACATCTACGAAAATTTACCACAAAAATATAAACAAAAATGACTAAATAAAAACCCGGCAATGACGTATTTCGGCACGAAAGTACACAATATTTCGCCTTGGCAAGAAATAATTGACCGATCGTTTTATAAATGCATATGAAAGATAAAACAAGTGATTTGCTTCTTGACAACAAAATTATGCTACCGAGCTCAACGTTATGATCCTCTGTTGATAACCGATGAGGCTTCATAAATTTAATAGATCAGTAGGTGACAACAAATTCAGTGTAAGATGTTTTGTAGTCAATACCATATTTCTTTTCTTGATTCAAATATCATCATAACATTAGTATGTTCTTTGAGTTTTACAAAGAAAATGGGGCGCACTTTATTTATGCTTTATAATGAGAGCTCATAAAATGTTTTTTTGTAATTCCAATGTCTGACTAAATTTTCCATAAGGATTTTCAAATAAGAATGAAATTAGCGGCGTTTTCAATACTAGGCCACCCAAAGGTTGTACTCGTGAAAAAAGAACCCTTCAATAGCACTTTAATGGAACTTTACCAAATGGTTGTTTATCTTCCAAGATTTTGAGTTCTAGTATCCTGAAATCGTATCATATTCATGCGATAAATTTACTGTTTCTTGTAAAGTCGGAGCGATTTATGCAGGATAAAGGTTATTACTCAACGGCTCAAAATAATGATAGGTCACTGTGCTCGTTCTCGACGGAAGGATTACTCATCTATCTGGTGTGTTCCGTCTGCTACGGCCTCTCAAAATGAGGCGCAACTGATTCATCGATGTGCTTGCGCAGCTAGCAGTGGACATGCGGCGTGAAGTAATATTTAAGAACTGATATATCGACATAATTAGAGGGACTTTAAAAGTGATGAAGACTTAAGGAACAATGTTTTACTCAGAAGTCGACTGTTAATAACCGTTAATGATGCAATGCTGGCTTACCTTCCGAACGGGCATCCTGGCGCTGAAGGAAACCATTTCACAAGCCTTAATAAGCCATAACAACGAGAAATTACTGAAAAGGTCTTCAGGCTAAAATTTGAATATCCTTTAGGAGACAATGTGTCGGTACAATTTTTCTCGCCGCACAAAACAAGAACTAAGCACATAAAAATAAAAATATCTCAGGCTGAGGCAACAGTTACATCGATCGGAAAACGTCTCAGATCATGACACTCGTGTCAATAATTTTCAACATTTTTTAGAATGACAACAATAATTTCAGGTGTGTTCAAGATGGTGATTCGTTGCTAACGGACATGTCTGGAACACCAAACACTGAAAATCGTTTCATTTTTTTATTCATTGCCATTTAACTTTTTACGATTTGATCGGTTTTTTTTCAAGACGGGATTGACCTGCCTATTTTCTCCGCATCTTAACACTCGCGCACGCTCCTCTGTTGGATTGATGGTGGAAATGTGACGCAAGAAAGTCTCAGAATTATCGCAAAGCGTCAGCATCGTCGAAACTTTTTCGAACGCCGAACGCAAAATAATCGTAATTTTTTCATCATCTGCATGAAATTTTTTGGATTTAACCGCTTCCTTTATTTAGGGAATAAGGCTCCCTAATTTCTAAGTATCTAAACATTTCTTCTGTCAGACAGATGGTGGAGCAGTTACGCAAGTGAGTCTCTAACCAATTCATCAGCTGTTCAATGAATAAAAGAACCCAAATTGGATCTCGTCCAGATGATTCAAAATTTATTTTTATGTTGAAGTAGCGGTACCGTTGCTTGTTAAAACTGACACATTTCGTGCTGTGCAGCTCTCCCGTTCAATTACTTATTGATGTTGGTCACCAAACGTTATAAACAGGAAAGCCACTGAATCATGAAGTAGCTTTATACGTTAATCATTCAGCAGTGACTGGTTGCAAACCATTAAAACACTGCATCTTTTAGACACCCCTTCGGTTATAGCGCTTTTTGTGAATCCGAATCTAAACTTATGGGCTCGTTATATGACAAAACTTGCCACAATTCGACCTCTTAAAGCAGAATAAGAGAAGTGGATCCCAACAACGCCGTGCAACATCACAAGGAGGCGATGAAAATGAGGAGTTTGGTAAAGGCTAAATGACATTAACGCCACCTGCAACTCATTTGCATACTCCCCTATTAAGCTCAATGAATTCAAAGATTGAAAACAGGAAGACTGTACTTGAGGATTAATTTCAGTGTTACTCTGACTCTTTGATTGAGCCTCTTATCTTAATGCGATGTTCTGAGGCAATTTTTCGAGAGGAATTTTAGGGAAAAATAATAAAGAATATGTAAAAAAAGAGGCATAATAGCTGAGTCTATCTATTTAGAGTACATTGAGCCATCATTGCAGTGGTTTACTTCTCGTCATCAGTAGGGATTGGCTGATTGGACGTAAACCTCTCTCCCCACCCCGAGACTCTTTGAGCCTGGTTCCAAGTAAGAATGTCTTTTACTTTTGTAAAACGATTGAAAAGAATGTCTCTCAACTGTCTTTATTTCAGATACTCTTCTTGGAAGCACAAGACGCGATATGTTTTTTGACAGGAGTAAGAATGAATACTTTTTCGATAGAGACCCTGATCTGTTCTCTTACATCATCCAGTTTTACCGTAAAGGAACTCTTCACTATCCTGAAGACGAATGCGCCTGCTGCTTTGCCGGAGAACTCGACTTCTTTGGAATTGTTAGAAATCACTTAAGCGACTGCTGCTATGAAGTGTTCCAAGAAAAACATGAAGAGTTCATAGACTATCAAAAGCGTCATGCAAAACCAGAAGAAGAGGAGTTCGTTCCCACTACGATAAGGCAAAAAATGTGGCAGTTATTTGAAGATCCAGCTCAAAATGTCTTTGGACTATTAATACATTATGTCTCCGCAATTTTGATCGTTGTAAGTGTTGCTGCATCAACTGTCGAGACTCTACCTTGTGGGGAAATCCCCTGTGGTGACAAATACTCTGAACAATTTTACATTGTGGAGTCTATGTGCGTCATAGCATTCACTGTGGAGTACTTGGCCAGATTGTTTGCTGCACCTGTCAGACTTCAGTTTATGAAACAATTCTTAAGCATTATTGACGTCGTGGCAATCATACCTTATTATGTAGCACTGATTTTTCCCGAAGCAGCGGGAGGCCCATTCACTGTTCTTCGTGTTTTCAGAATCTTTCGCATCGTTAAAATGTCTCGCCATAACACGAAGGTCCGGGAGGCTGGCTCGTCACTGTTAGCCAGTCTTTCTGAACTCAGTTTTGTGTTTGTTGTACTCATTACTCTCGTCATATTATTTTCAACCATTATATATTATGCTGAGATGGGAGACAAAAATACAAACTTCGTCAGCATTCCAGCTACGTTTTGGTATACTATCGTTACCATGACGACGCTAGGGTAAGTCTTTCTCCGTTGCTAACCCAATAGTAATAGAGAGTTTGAGGTGGGGATGGTGATTACAGAAATGGCCAAAATGAACTCGCCTAGCAATAAAAAAGTTGAAAAATTATATTACCAACAATCTGATTGCAATCATAATTGTCTTGAACATGACAAAGTCCCTTAACAGTATAAGAAATATGGTAATTTTGAGCTCGTTGGTGAAGTAAAAAGTTTATTATTCATTTTTGAAAAGGGTGTGGGACAAAAAAAAAACGTACACGCGATGAACCATACCCAATGATTTGTTACAGAGCTAAAAAGAATTCTTGGATCAGCTAGACCACATATTGTGTTCATGTGTTACATGGGTCCTGCATAATGCTTGCTTGTATCAGCGATTTCGAAAGTTTCATGTGAGTAAATAAGATAAGAAAGGTGAAAAATTTTTTAGCTCTGTTTTGTCACGAGTGCGGCACAAACAAAAACATTGGGTCCTACATAAGGAATCAAGTCCCAATTTAGACCAATAGATTCCGCCCTTCTTTTCTCCACTACTGAGCAACAGGGAATCCAGTCACAAGTGTAATTTCAGACCAAAATTGCATGACACAAAATTCAATCACCACTTTATTACATCCACTTTGCCATCACAAAATTCAGTTACTCAACTACGGGATCTTTTAGTCTGTAAAAATGTTTTATTAATCCAGTACTGAGCTGGTGTGTAACAAGTTGCAAAGTTGTCTTTCATTTTCCTGCCATTTGGTCAGTTACTTCAAACAAGCCTTGAAATCTGTTTGGTTGTCATGTTTTAGTAAAGATTTCTCATTGGCCAGGAAAGAGGTGTGACTTAGAGCAATGTAATTCATATGTAAATCGCACTAGTGAGAACCAATCAGATTGCAGGGATCACTGAGGATTTTTTAACGTTTTGTCATTCTCACTTGTCCAATCATATTACACTTTATAGATATGGTGATATGACCCCATTGAGCATATTTGGACGCATAACAGGCGTCATTTGTTCTTTGAGTGGCATTATGGTGGTTGCTTTACCGGCTCCTGTCTTGGAAAAGAACTTTAGTCGGAAGAAGGAGGAAGGAAGACCAGATCGTGATACCACAAATGAAAAAACCCGTGCGAGAACCATAAGCCACAGTCACAGCCACAGTCACAAGAAGTCAACTGAAATCTGAAGTATGACATCAAGTCAAGTGTGAGGGGCTGGTCTATTTCGTAAATTGTCAAGCTAATGCAACAAACGAGACGCATTGTTATTGAATCTTTCAGAAAATGTTTGGTTGATAAGCAACTGATGTGATTGGCACATCAGAGGACAAGACTTAAGACTAAAAGATCAACCCAAGATTTGGAGAAAAATCTGAAAACCAGGGGCTGCATGAAGAACATTTGATTCATTTAACACATCTTGACAACCATATAATTTCTTGTCAGAAGCTGGTTATCCTAGTTGCTTAGCCACAAAAGATGACTAAATCTCTCTGCAGTTGAAAGACAGCAGAAAAAGTTATGTGACTTCATAAGCTCACACATATGCAGTTCAAAAATCTTTTCCTTTCAAGGTTTCAGTTCATTTTCCACTTTCTCTGATTACATTGCATTTTACCCAGATTACACTAAACATTGAAAACCAGTATATTTGTTTGTATGTCAGTACAGTAACAGCTCAAAGCAATTTGTTAAAAATGACTGTGAATAACTGTTATGGAAAAAACTTTAACTTCACCGCAAGTTAAAGGTTGACTATCCAAGGGAGAGCCATTTACAAAGCATTTCTGTGTGCGATTGTTCAAGTTGGATTTGAACCAGTTTGCTGAGTTGTTTCCAACACCATAGGCTTTTAATTTAGATAGCAATAAAGAGTGATCAATGGTGTCAAAAGTTTTCTTCAGATCTAGAAAAATCACTGCATAAACATTACCTTTATTATCTGTGGCTTCAGGTGGTAGCAGTGGAGTGAAGGGAATGAAACCCTGACTGATTACAGGAAATTAGATTATTATCAGTTAAATATTTGTAATATTGATTGTATACAATTCTCTCAAAGACCTTAGCCACAACAGGAATTATAGAAATAGGGCAGTAATTATTTAAATCAGAATGTTCTCTCTGTATAAATACAGGAACTACTCTTCTACTTATGCAGCATTAGAACTGTTCGATCTCATAATATCGCTCATGATTGGGCAGAGAAATTTTAAATTTGCCATTCCATATCATTGTTATCATTATTATCATCATCATCATTATTAAAAAGCTTCATTCAAAACTCAGTCAGACTACTTGTAGATGGATATAGAACAAAAACAAATTGTGCTTTATGTGCAAAAATGTATATTTCCTGCAAAGAACTTGCATAGCTAAAGCAAAATAAAGGTTCACTCGTAAAATTATCAAAATAAAAAGCAACTTTTTAAAGTTCAACCTTTCAAATACCCGTTCATGATAAACAGTCTAAAATTCAATATTTATTATTATTATTGTAACTATTATTATTATTATTATTATTATTATTATTATTATTATACCTTAGGATCATAGCTAGAAAAATACCCATATTTATAATACCATCTTAAACGAATTTTACAAGATTCAGAATACTTTAAAAATTACTTATCATTGAACTACTTCAGAAATGTTCTAACCCAATACGTACAAAACACTTGGTTGATCAGATTAAAAGCTCTGTAACAAATTTTGGCGTTTTTTCAACCTCTTTCCTCTGCGCCTGCTTGGAGTCAAAATAGTCAATTGGTGTTATGCTTGTATCCTCCCAGTGCCTCTCATCACCCAAGGAAATGAGCGAAGTATCAGGGAAACCTGAGAAAATTTGGGATTGGGAAGGGAAACACAACCTGGGATAGAATGGCATTTTCAGCCATACCTTCACAAACCCTACAAGCTCAGAAAGTCGCGAATTTTAGTTTCTCTCAGTGTCACATGGTTGATTTTCCATCCCGTTGCTTCGAGGCGATGTTTGCCTTCCTGCTTTTCTTTCATAGAGCAACCTCGAAAAATTCTGTACACCTCTAAAATTTTCGTCTTCGAAACACTGAAAATTGGAAAATGCATTCGATGACACCAAAATGCGTCGGTTTTAAACGCCAGCCCCTTTCGCTGCGATTATCGCGTGATTATAAACCTCGCACGCTTGAGTTCGCGTTGTTGACCGCATACCTGTGACGTAGTATTTCCTTATTCAGCTCTGCTCTTGCGAGGACCATTTGTGGCGTCGGTGAAGAAGACAACGTCTGAGACAGTGAATGACCCATTTGTCTTTTGGAATTCGCAGCAGAGGAGTGAAGGTAATATTCTTGTGGCTTTTATGTCTTCTAGAGAGTCAAAAAGGAGCATACTAAATCGAAACAAAGCGCAATATCGTGTTCAAGATTTGTGGAAGAACTATTCTGCTGTTCGATGAAACCGTTGGCGACTTTTCCGCCTTATTTTGAGTCGATGGCAGTAGTGTAATAACTCCGCGAAATCCTTTTATTCCAAATTTTGATGTTACTTCTCGGAGAGTGTTAAGGGCTTAATCGACATCTGTCGACGTACGGATTGTTGTTAACTTCAAAGAGCTATTCGAGGAAAGGTATTTTCTCTTAGTCAATTCCTGACTCAACTACATAAGTTTTTTACTATTTTCTGCAGCTGAGTTGTGCAAATGAATGCTGAGGTTGAATTTTTTGCAACAACTTGACGAAATCAAACAACCAAACAGTCGGAAATACTGAAATCCGTTTGTAGCGCAGTGTCGTAAATTTGTGCGAACCAGATTCTATTGTTTTTTTTTTTAATTTCTCTTATTTGGGAAATCGTTGATCACGAGTGTATCTTTTTGTCAAGGCTTCGCTCTCCTGATGTATTTTTTTTGTCTAAATTAATCTTTTGGCGAAACTTCTACTTTTCTCCAAGCTCTCCTCAGAAGAAATATTCCTTTTACATCGCAATTGGCCAGCTTGTGGAAAAAGGCGTTGTTCTGATCATTGTATTAATTTGAGGCCGCCATTGTTGTTTATAACTAGCGCCGCGCAATATCGCGGGAGGATCGCGCGTGGGGTACAGAATTCAAAACAAGTCGATAAAGCTCAGAACCGTTTGAGACATAGTTAGCAGCTTATGTGTAGTCAACTTCAGAAAATCAATATAATCAAAATCGAAAGTAACTACCCCTGATTTTTCTGCCTGATCTTGTCATCATTTTGGGATTAAAAGAGGTGGTTGCTTAGCCATAGCTGATCAAGTAGAATTGCAATATATGGCTTTGTCACCAATGAAAAAAAACTATCGAAACAGTCTTATACTTTTCCACCATGTACTAGCCATGCTGTGACTTGTCCATGAGTAAATTGTGCCTCTGATGCTTGAAGAGATAACTTCACACTTTCTTCCTGTACATATTTTACTTTGTCAGGCAGTGTTGTAAATGGTCATTTGTCTTTGTTGGCTTTCCTTTGGAACTTGTGGGGCTCACTGAGTTTGAATTTGAGCTTCTTTATCTCTTTCTTTTGCATTTTGTACCAACAATTTCCTGTAAAAATCCTTCTAAAGAATGAAGATTTTAGATATATGAAAATTCATATATTTGCACTGCAGTGGAGAGTTTATTTTATTTTTCAGTAGTTTATTTTTCGGTAGTTTATTTGGACCCAATTCATTGACCAGCTCCCAGTTGGCTTGTTAGCTCAATTGGTGGAGCACTGCACCGGTATTGCAGAGGTCATGGGTTCAAATCCCGTACAGGCCTGAATTTTTTTCAGGTCCTATTTACTACTACTCGTTTCAGTAGTGTTCTTAGCTGCGAGGATCTCTTAATTTCATCCTTCTAAAGACTTCATCAATTCCCTGGTTATCAGAGTATAGGAGGTCCGAGACCTTGTCTTTGGAATTTGATATGGCAAAAAAGAGAGAAAAGCTGATTTAAAAGAAACAGAGCTCTGACCAGGGTTGACTCAGAGGTCTAGATAACTATAACTTGCTACACTCCTTCTTATATACCTTGGTTTCCTTCCCATGATGTACCACCATGGTACCTAGACCAAGCAGTGTCTGTGCTGACAAAATTTTTGTCAAATTACATCTTAATTCAGTTGTGAGGAGGCCTTTTGGTCATTCATAATAACTTAAGTAAGCTTTTATGGAGAAGACCCAAACATATAATTAAGAATCAGACCAGTTAGGTTATATTCTTTGTTTATTTTGGTGGTGTTTCAACTAGGCCTTATTTCACCACCCACTGTATCATTATCTTGAGTGTTTTTTCAGCTTTGATGTAAATTTTTGTGGATTTCCTGTTATTCTCTTGAGCTGTCAATGCTAAATCAAGAAGTTGACAACACTGCAATGAAAATTAAATGCTCCCACTTAACTTAAGACAAAATTATAAAGTTTTTAGAGAATTAATTATGTAAACAAGAAAACACCCTAACCAAAAGTGATGAATACATAGTGATTTATTTTTAATCACGATGTTTATTGTCAAGGATTTTGGCTGAAGTATTTTCAAACCTTGAGACAGATTTGTTGAATGTTTCAAAAAAAGAACAAACACAGTGTGAAACTGAACTCCAGTAAGAATTAATTCCGAAAAGTTTTTTCCAAAATGAGATTTTCCTTGTATGAATAATGGGTAGTTTTTCAGTTCACAAATATTGTGGATTTTGATATTCAAAATATCTGTTTTATTAACGGTTGGTGCATTATGGCCCAGTTACCACTCGTTTTGTACCCACAGTTTTTTTGTTTTGTACCCACAGTTGTTCTATACCCAGTCATCTTGTACCCAGTTAGGTTGTTTTGCATCCATTCAAAGGCAGATTATGAAAGGGGCGAATTGAAACCTATTCTGGGCCAAGAATACATAAGTCAAGAGGAAATGTGAACCAGCTATTAAACCTATTGCTGATACAGCAAAGCAAAGAAATGATATGTCTCCTTCACTTGCAAGCTTGCTGGATCATACTCCAACTAATTGTCATCAAGAAACACCAACAGAGATTGAAAACATTCTAAAGCTACAAAATGTCCAAGGCCCAGTGTAAGACATTTTGTGGAGGAAACCAAGAGCAAGGTTTTGTCTCAATGAAAGAACCCCAATTAACAGCAAAATGAAATAACCTGCATTTCTATCAAAACATGATAATACATAAACTCTGATTGATAAATATGTATGGAGAACAGTACAAAAAAAAATTGTTTATTAACACCTTTTGCAATGTCAAAAATCATCTAATTCAGATTATGTAAATAATCACATGAAAGGCAGTACTTTGTTTTCACCAAATGCCATGATCAGAGTAGTTACACAGTTTCATGTAATATTAACAAAGATGGAAATGATGACCCAGATGTGCAGAATGAAATTTACAGTGACTGTACATAAACTTCATAATCATGATCACCCTCAATAAAAGTTCCTGTTCATTGTTCATATCTTGTTTGAGTTCATTCACACACATGAAAAACAAAGAGGAAAATTTTTTTTTTTAAGAGGAAATTTCCATTCAAATTATTATGCTTAATTTGAAGCACAACCTTGACATCTTCATTAGAAACAAGTTTAATTTCTTCTCTGATCTCTGGAGATTCTCTATCATTTAGTGGCATTCTTGATGTCCTCCCCCTGAACTCTGTCTTTCACAGTTGTATACAAAGATTCTGCATGAATTTCAGGTCTTGGCTTTCCTTCCACAAAGTTTGCAAGTAGCAAATCTTGTCTGTTTTCCTCCAGTACAAAGGTGTTTGTCTTGCCCTTTGCCACTTGAGAAATTTGAAGGTGCTACATTGGGGCCTCCTGTGAAATATCTGCAAAGATGTATGTAGGATTTATGAAAATGAAACAATAGACTATCCAAAATAGACTAGACAATCCAAAACAGTAACATAATATGATATAATATTATAACAAATCATATATAATGTTTTCAGTTAACTTTGAGACAGAAGTATGTACAACATAGTAGCTACAGCCCAATTACAATTTCCCAAATTAGCTCTAGCGATGACCTCCAACCAACCCCACAGCCATCCTCTTCCCAAATTATTTTGGCGTAACACTTGCATCTCATTTATTTTTATGAAATGATATTTAACAATTAATCCTGCATATTTTTTGTCTGCTTTTCCTAAATTACAATTTAATCTGGAAATTTGATAGACGAGGCTACTATTCGTGGTAACCCAATTCATTTTACATTTCATGTCTGTAAAAACCTACCGAAGTATCTGACATGATAAAAAAAATCCACTTTTCCCTTACCTCTCTGAGAATCATAAATTTCTCCTACCTTGAAGAATCTTTTTTTTTTCCTTAAGAATTTTCCTGACCTGGCAACCATGTAAAGTAAAATCTGTACTTGAGCTAACTAGCCCATCCAACAAACAGAAAGATTGAAAGCATCGTTGAAACCTCAAAATGGCGGTTGGCGACTGAATTAGACGTAAATCAAAACCACCCCATGCACTTTTTTCCTGCAGTTTGCATCACGATAACAGTTGCATCAAAAGAAAATAGATTGAAGTTTAGTTCCATAATTTCTTTTGTCCGGAAATTTTATTTACAAACCTAAACGTAAAGATTAAGTCGGAACACACCACAATCAAACGTGTTCATTCAACTGCCCAGTGACTGCTCTGCCCAAAATTTCGCCTCTATCACCCCTTCATGACCACCATCTTGAGTACGCGCAAAGAACGTTATCTTTTTTCTAATTTCCAATGTAATTGTTGGTACATACGGTGAGCGATAACGAATAAACGGCGAATATTTCGACGTGATTAGGAAAATCTTCGATTTCCGAAATGGTTGCCATGTGGTGACGTCACGTGGTTATCAAATTTGATGTGGTTATAATTTTTTAGAATAAAAGCACTTCATTAAACGATACAGTTTTTTCAATTATATTAATAAACCTTTTTTCAGCCAAAATTCGTTGCCAGCAAATCCCTTAGGAAGATTGTATTACCTTGACCCGTCGGAAGGAAATATAACGCAATAACAACCCCGAAGAATATCTGACGTTCATCTGACCTCATCTGGATGTTGTTTGGAGTTGATATCGACCTTGACTTCTTCAAAGTTGTCATTTTTCAATATTCAAGTGTGTGTGAGGATCACAAAGCTTTTCGAGGTAACTTAAAAACCTTTTCTTTTGTTTTTCTTTTTTTTTTTTCTTTTTTTTTTTTTAGAACTTCAAGTTTTCAGCACGATTGACGGTGAAAATCTCGTATTTTTGACAGTGGACGGTTAACCACAACCAGACCGTAATGTGCAGGAGCCGAATGTTGTTCAGATGAGTAAGCATGTCTTTAAATCAAGAGGAACAAGCAGGTATATTATGAGAGTGAATGTTGTTAATTTGAAAATACAAGAATATTCATAGTAAAGTTCGGATATAACGCGCGTTGTCATTGGTCGGAACAGCGTGTTCTATCAGAGTTTTTTTTATAATAAGCTCAGTTATGCACGCATTCTGATTGGTTCTCACTTATGATCTATTGGAGGACAGACGTATAGATGACGTCATCATTAAAACCTTTTTTTCCGTATATTTTAATTCTTTATCATATAATACAAATAGATTCCAAGTTGCCGTGTGTCTGTTCAGTAATAGATCACAGAGGACGTCAAAATGTGTAAGATCATTAACACACTCGGCTGCGCCTCGTGTGCCATATTTTGACGTCATCTGTGATCTATTTGTTAAACAGACGCACGGCAACTTGGAATCTTTTTGTTAAATATAACAGAGAGCAAGAGAGCCAAACCTGTCACGCCAACTGCTTAATTCTACCTTTGTCTGACCATTTCCCGGACTTTTCTCTAGCTTTTTTTCGTTAATTAAAAGTGAAATTTCGGAAAAAGGGAGACGGCAAATAGCAGCAGAAGAACTAAACAAAGGTTCTTAAACATGTCAAGCGCCGTAATTGACGTCATTATAACATGCGCAGAGACGAGAATCCTCAAAGAGAAAACGAAATGGACCGTCCGACTTTTGAAGGTTTTTACGCAGTTAGATAGCAAGCTTATGTATGATGAAAAAAGTCAAACACAGCTATTACTCGTGTAGTATATATAGTTTCGTGTTCAAAAATAAAACAGGACAAAACAGGACTGATGAAAATATAGCCAAACTGACATACCGGTAATTTAAAACTCGTTCTAATCATGACGGAATGAGAGCGACTGCAATCATACTGAGGTCCATCACGGCTAGCTTATCATGGCGATCTCCGGTCATCGCAGTGAAGCAAGCCTCAGAAGTTACATTGGCCACCCCTCGAATGAACAACTAAGAGCTTGTTCTGAGACCCTTTCCGATGCGTTTATTGGAAGGCTACATCAGTCTCGGCAGCCGAGTTTTACGGCACTGTCATCCCGAGAAATCTTTATATTCCTATGAATTCGGTTGTCGTTCATTCATAAAGCACACGCCTTGACCAGTTTGTGTTCTAATCGTCATGTGAACAAATTCTCGTGCTTTTATGAGCGTCAATTCGGCCACTCAAGAAGTGGGGAGAAACACGAGACGTAGTCGAGTGTTTCTCCCGACAGTTCTCTCGTGCTTTAGCCGCTTCTTGCGTGCTTGACAACAGAAGAGAGTACAGACAAGGCTTCTCTATTAGTTAAATATATGTTATTCGCCAGTCGGGAGATCCGTATTGGGAAAAACTGTGCCCGAGGTCTTGAGTACAAAGTTTTTCCCAATACGGATCGAGCTAGGCTGGTGAGAAACATTTTTATTTTTTCCTAAAACTTCACGAAATTCCTGCCAAATGAACCAAAATGATTTATGGCTGTAATTACGGCAAGATTTTCCTTAAACTGAAAAATTTTTGAGCGAGTGAATGGCATTTAAAATAGAGGTAATTCAAATTAAAGAGAGAGACTTCATCGAAATATTTTCATTTGCGTAGCGATAAAGGTGATTTAAAAAGCTTCCAAACAAGCGTTGAAACATTTTTTTTGTAAGTATCTGTCACAATCTGACACCTGTCAATTAGATACCATGTAAGAAAAAAAGCGCTGGTTTGGCAAACAAACTCAAGTTCAGTGACTCTCACGACAATTTTTTTCTTCAAAACCATCTGATGACCTTACGGAAAGTATTATTCACTTCCATCGATGATTAGTGAACGAAGAATACCTCTGTTCAATGCAGGGAAAGTAATTGTAAGTTAATTCAGATTATGTTTCGAAGTTGTGGGAGTTTGCCCGTTTGTTTGCTGCCATGGCGCGTGCAAATCTGCTCTTTTTCCACCAAATAACTTGAAGTCAAATGAGATACTTTAACAAGATTTAACTGGAATTTAACGCAAATTCATTCGGTTTTGTTGTGCAATTTACGGTACAAATCGTCAAATTGAACAGTCTTGCATAGACTTACCGAAAGTGTATATTTAGTAGGACTGTAAACTTCGCCACAACGAAAAACTTCTTTGAGAGAATTCAGACATTAAATGAATTAAAGTTCCATCGATTAATTCAATTGTCAACAAATATCTAACAGTTTTAACTTTCTGAGTTACTTTTTTGTGAAGGATTAAAGTTATTCGAAAACTGTTTTTAGGCCGCATGTCAACCCATTTAGTGACACATTTGCTACCACAAATTAATTTCGAAAACAACTATCTGCTGGCAACCAAAGTGATTTGAGAAAAGACACGACATTATGTTATTAATCGGCTTGATTTGCTTAAAAATACTTTGCTCGAATATAACGCCCAGCCGGCAAAACAAAATTTATTTTTGGAAATTAAAAACGAAGCTAGGCATGATCTCGGTGAAGCGTTACCGTGCCCGTGAGCGGAAAAAAAATCTGGACCGCACTAGGAGCCAATCAGATTGCAGGATTCGTTACCGTGTCCTCTGAGAAAAAAAAATTATTTTTTATCATTAATTATGCAAATGCCTAAAAAGTACCCCAACAGAGGTATATGACGAGCAGGTTAGAAATGTGCGCATGGTTTCACTTTCCTACGAGGGTGTCTTTCATTTCCTTGCTGTTATGTCACGCTCCGCGAATACAAAAATGTCATATTGCAACCTTTAAGTTGGAAAAATAAAATTCAAGCCACCTGGTCACATTGGGAAGCTTTCATACTCGGTAAAAAGCCGTGGCCTTAATGGGCCGGGTATTTAAACCAAGTTTAGCCTTTGTTTGACAAAATCGCGTCCTAAACAATCCTCAATTTAGCTGAACCTTTTATCTTACTTTTATTTATTTTGTGAAAAGTGTCAAGAAGGCCGAAAGCCGAAAGCTAACATTTCTTAAGTGACTTATTGCGTGAAACCGTGGTTTGGGTTAGACCTCGTGTAAATAACCGGCCCCAAAAGGTTTTCAGTGACAATTCACAATTTCTTTTGTGGTTAGGCATTAAAACGTGCTCTTTGCCCTAGAAAGTGAAATTCCTCGTCATAATTGTAGTAGTTCCTTTGGCGCCTCTTTCAAAGACTTTTCATAGCATCTTACGCATTATGAAAATTTGACACAAGCAACTGATATCTGTCCTTTTTATTTTTCTGTTTCAGTTTCCGATATCAGGTTCTCGTGAAGTGGAGAAAATGACGGCTTGTGAAAACACATTACAGACAGGTGTACCTTTGCCGAGAGTTAAAAATTTCATTTTCGTCCGTAAATTAACTTAAATTCTGAAACAAGGAGTGACCGAGATCACAACTTAAGCTTTAGAGCATTCGAAAACAGTGGAAATTCAAACCGAGTCTTGAAATGATGAATTTTCTCAAGGAATTACTTGCGCCAAAAGCCTTCAACAAATCTAGTCATGTCCTAGTTTTAATTTGGTACGTGATGGGTGTAATTTTCCTTGGCATTTTTGGCGAAATAGGAAACAACGAGTCCACGCTTGATTTCCATTGTGGTGGAGTAACGAGTGAAAATATCGACCTCGTCCGGAAAAAATGTTTCGAGAAATACGATAAGCAGTACAACAAATACGGTCTTCCTATCTATGGCTTCATGCTCATCAATTTCTTCCTAATTGGAATTGTATGTGCTATTTACTCCAAACTAATAAGATCGACAGTCGATCAACTGACGCCAAGCACTCGTAACAGTGATCCCGAGAGACAGCCGCTTGGCCAAGAGAACCCATCAACAAATGGAGAGAAGCTTTTCATCGCTTACTGCTGTCAACTATTCGCAAAAATGGTTGTAGAAGTCCTCTTTATGGTCCTACAAACTCAGTTGCTTTATCCAACTAAGTTTTCCTCTAAGTTTGACTGTTATTTAACCTTTGAAACCAATCCGCCAGAGAATTTTCACGAATGTCACAATCAACGAGCGGATAGGAAATCCTTCTGGATGCGCGCTGTCCTTGCAGTGAATGGAATTTTCGTTGCTCTCATTCTGATTGAAATCATCTACATGTTGGCACGGGCATGTAAAGAAAGGAGTTTCTTAAAAAACTCGAAGTTTCTAAAATCCCATCTTAATCCCAGTCATGAGAAGTTGCGTCAGGAACCTCAAAAACGATCAGGAAGAGTAGAACACGGTTCACGACAGTCAAGAGTGCGTGAAAGCCGCCCGACCCAATTCGAGTTACACCGAGAACCTCAGAGGCAAAATGATTTTGTCCAACAACAGCCAGATTTAGGGTCAGATGGTAAGCCTGTACAGCTTCAACGATTCATCGCGCAAACAAAGAAAATAATTAAAGAAGACACCCATCGCCTCGTCGAACTCCTATCACCGTTTTTAGGTCCTCCAGGGGAACAAGCAGGAGCTAAATTTTTGACTCTGGATCAAATTTACACAAACTTTGTGGTCATCCCCAACAGGGTTATGTACGACTTTCCACCAGACAGACGAGAGCAACTCAAAGTTTATACAAGGTCGCGGGAGGAGTCACGGCCGAAAAGCATGGAAGATCTCCTCGATGGTAGAGCGAAAAAAGTTTTGATTGTTGGTCGACCCGGAATCGGCAAGACATTTGGTTTTACGAAATTTTTCAGAGACTGGGCACTTGATAAAGTTTTTAAAGGGACATCTGATGCCAAAATCCATTTTGATGCTGCTTTCCTCATGAAATTCAGGAGAATCAAATCGCTAAACGACCTTAGTCTCAGGGAACTACTCACTCACGCAGAACATTCCCCTTCAGATCACCTGGATGATGAGGTCTGGAAATACATCCAGCAGCACCCGGAACGTGTTCTCATAGTTTTTGAAGGATTCGACCGATTCAAATACGACGCAAAAATGGCCATGCCTTCTTTTCGTTCCACAAGCATTGAAGAGAAAATGCCGCTCCAAGTCCTTTATCAGTGGCTCGTGACCGGGAAACTTCTTAAAGATGCTACAGTTGTGACGACTACGAGGCCTAGGGCTTTATCAAGCATCGCACATCTTAAGTTCGACAAAATCTATGAAATCCTAGGGTTATCATCGGAACAAGTTAAAGAATATGTCTTCAAATACGCTGGAGATGACAAGCAAGTAGGCGAAACACTATGGCTACACATCAGCAGTAACACGAGCGTACTTTCGCTCTGTTATATCCCGGTGAACAGCTTCTTGATGTGCTCGTGTATATGGCAAATAATGCAGTTCCACAGGTCCACTGATATTGACTTTCCTTCCTATTTCACAAAGGTTTACAAGATTGCAGTGAAAGCGTTTTACCTTAAACACGCAAAAGGATTCCGCGATAAGCATTTCGGTCGCAAAGACTATGAATCAGATGATTTGCCCATAGAAGTGGAAGACCAATTCAGTATACTTGGAAGAGTAGCGTTTGAAGGAATCAAAGAAGGACAGCTGATCCTTGGAGAAAACGAAGCACATGGAGTGGAAGACAGCGTTCTTTTGCACCGTTTACCCGACCGTCTAACTGTTACGTCTGATCAAGAAGAACAATTCTGTTTTATTAATCTAACGATACAAGAGTTTTTCGCTGCACGGCACATAGCAAGCACCATGAATGCAACAGAATTGAGGAACTTTGTGTCCGGGAACATGCAGAACGGCAGATGGCAACTGGTTTTTCATTTCCTATCAGGACTAATGTCTAACCAGTGAACGATAAAGATTATAGCTACCGAGCGCAATAATCACAAACCTTTTTCCTGTAGAAACTGCGTAGTTACTAAAAGAAGGAATGACCTAAAATGATCTACAATGACCTAAAATGATCTAAATCATTAGAATAATTGAAATGGAGAAAATAGAGTTTTTCCTGGTATTCACACAATTACAGCAAGAGGTTGAGAAAACTACCAAACGTTCACCAAAAACTAGTCTTTGGTTCGTCATCGGAAAGCTTTAAGAAACTACCATTGGTAATTTTCATCAACCGAAAGTCTTAAGAAACCTTCTACATTCATTTATTCGTGTTAAGTTCTCTCGGGAGTCAATTATCGTTACCATTAGAAATCCGATCGTTTATTTGAGTCGTCACGCCATGCTTCTGTCCAGAGAAACCCTTTATGACGACTGACAAACAACGGATGGTGGGAAGACAAACTTGCCTCTCAGGTCCCCCGTTGTTCATAGGGTGGGTAACCCTGTCCATTGAATAAATCTCTATCTGGTGGATAGCACAGTACGTTTTGTTACTACTTATCTGGCGCTGGATGGCGATTTATCCATTGGATAGCGTTACCCACCCTTAAATAACTGGGCCTTAGTGAGCATTCGTCCTATTGTAATTTGTAATTCGTGGTAGACTGCTGAGGGTAGATTTAATTGGGACCATCGTACTAAAGTTTGGTAATGTATTCAAGAACATTTGTCAAAAGTTTTACCCTTACATTTAGAATGCAGCAACACTAACGCTTCAGGTCGTAAACTACTTAGGATTCGAATAACTGCGTGGTAACCAGCTTAGATAGAACTACAACCTTACAAATAGACCATGAATGAAAGCAAACTAAATTTGTGAAACGCTTACAGCAGTGGGATAATTTGAACCGGCTCCAAAATTCGAAATGAAAAGTTAGCCAAGGAACATGTTTAGTAGGAGCATAGGATGTAAAACTTTTTAATTAAACTAAAATTGAAGGGAAAAAACAGCTGTTTTGTAGGGTATAGTTGAGATTGATCAGATATATCAATTTGAACATTTTTTTAGTTTTCTGCAGTTCTTGTAAGTATCAGTGTGTTTTTTCTAAGGGCCTGTTACTTGTATGATATAGTAACATGTCAATAAGTTGCACTGAAAAATCAGAAGATGAAGCAACCAGTACTTGTAAAAAGAGCTAGAACTTCTAAATAGATTATCGTAAAATAAATTTTCTAAACGGATGTGTACTTTTTGTTGTGATTGAGTTATTCCCTATGGAGAACTGCAAAGGCAGAAAGAACGAGTAGGGAGGGCAGGGAAACCTCACAAAGAATTTAAACCGCAATAAATTTTTTTATTGCAGCTTTAAAAAATACAAAACAGAACAATTGATTCACTTTCAATTTTTTCAACATTTTTTTCTAAATTTAAGATTTTTTTTTTAAAATTTCCATAATTTTTGGACGACTGCGAAACTGTCTTAAAACTCAGTCTGAAAAAACAGTCGATTAAAATTCCTGTGTCCAATCACCTTCAGTCCACAAATCTCTGAATCCCATCAAAATGCATGTCACAGAATAGACGTGTGTACTTTAATTCTGGTGGTTACAAATTTCGTTTTGCACAGAACTTTTCCCCTCTCCTTCCCTTTCGCTACCAGAATTTATCAATAAGTAATTTCTCTTTACAATCTAATACTCTAAAAGCAGAAAGATACTGATTACATCATAGCTCTCACCTCTGCGCCACCCACAAACATTTTGGAAATCTAGAAACTGGTTTCCCACTCTAAATATTCTTCCAAATCTAAACTGTTGTTAGAAAGCGGCTGAAATGGAGAGATTCTCGAAATCGTTTGTCGTTTAATATTGACGGTTGACAATAAAAAATCTATTCTTTTTGACGGCTGTCGGCACTAGTAGCCCAACAGGTAATTTAGTGTTAACAACTGAGTTGAAAACGTAAATTGACCACCGTGAAGAGTTTAAAGGCTGATGTTTCGTCAGAGCTATTGACGAAGGGCTAACCCTCGAAAAGTCAGCCTTTAAACTCTTCACGATGGTCAATTTACGTTTTCAACTCAACTTTGAAACACTTATTTACCTGTTATACTCTCCCACCGACGCAGCACCAAAGTTTCTTTAGAAACTTACTCTATTCACTAGTAGCCCAAGCTCGCAAAATGAGCTTCCGTGAATGTGCCAAAATGTTTGCGCTGGTTAATGTCTGAAATATAAGGATTTGTATGGGAACAACCAGTCGCAGTCTAGACCAAACTTACCTTGTTCAAGTGGATGTTCTTTTGTATCGTGTGAGTTTCTTGGGATAATTTAGGGCCGTTTAGCTCGGTTTAAGTTCAGGTGCTTTGCCCTCTATATAATCCTTTCCCAAAGGCCTAGCCCTGTGTGACGTCAACCGAACGAATCTATTGGAATCAAACCGCTGTAAATTCGCTCAGGACGCCCCGATCACGACGAAATTCCATATAACTGGATCCCGGATGGTACTTCACGCTCGTGTTCCTCTTTCGAGGGTCATTTACAATAAAGTGGAATTAAACGCCGCCAATGCCTGCTTAAAGGTTCTCTAAGAGCCTTCAGATGAGGCGTTACTCTGATACCGCGAGACTCATACCGAAGAAGCTTTCCAATTATGGTAAAATTATTTACGTTGGGGTGAATGGCTGCTAATTGCTCCTACCCTCAGGCCTGACTTCCCCTCTTACGCTGCAATTGCGCAACATGAACATAGCTGCTTATTTTGGGGAGGCTCGTTTTGCGAGCTTGGTATACTTGTGTTATCGGTTAAATTTTCAGCCCTTTGACGGGTAATAATTAAATCCCATACCCTCTTAACACGAGATATCGCCTCTCTAGGAAGAAATATAAACAAGCTGAATCAACGAAAACCAGCTTTCGCTGTTTTGTCAACTGTTATGGAAAATCGTGCGCTCAATTTAATATTCAGAAATATGAGTTCCACCTTCTTTGTCACGCTATTCTGAGCGAGCGATCACTTTGAATCCACTCGGTGACAAACAATGATTAAACCAAGTGCTGTTACTTACAGCCTTTACGTTGATGCTAATTGATTCCTCTACATATGGAAAGCAAAACACATTTTTTAATTCTGGGTACTAAGAGCATTCAATAGTTTTAAAAATCTATTTTACGAAGGAAACAAGGTGAAATTATCAATTCGTGGGGCCAACGAACACAGACTGATTTTATCGTAGTCTATCTTTTTCATTGAAAGAATACGCGCAGATGCGCGAGATTTATATGTGCAGAACTTTTCTTTTAATATGAGGTGATCTCCACATTCGTGAACGCAACTTTAAGCAGCTGTAACAATAAAGCTTGAGTTCATTGCTGCGAAGATCACTCACATATCAATCTGCAGTTCACTTAAACGGTTTTCACATATTCACAGTCAGAGCTTTTCTTTGTTTACACAGCATCATCTGAACACAAGGGGTTTTGGCAGAAATCGAAACAGTTTTCCAAACCCAAGACACAGCGGGAGGTTGAGTTTGCCTTTAACTGAAGGAGCAGCGAAAAGAGTGATACTTTTTTCTCTCTCTCCAAAACTTTTAATGTACGAATGACTGCTTAAAACCACACTTTTTAAAGTTACACAACCCTCGCAAGCGTAAAATATAAATATAAGTCCCTTTACTCTACATCGCAGGGATTTGATGAAACATCAAGCGAGTCAATGGCGACTAAAAACAAACAAACGAATGAACTGGCAAATATTGACAGTCACATTGCTATAAGGTTTTTTTGTCAACACCAAAGAAAAAAGTATTCACGCTAAGCAACTCGAGAGCATTGCTATCATATTTACAAGAATGCAAAATAATGTTGGCTTTTCTATTCATTAAGCTGACACAAAAGAGCTGTCCCCTTCTCAATCCAGAAGTCTGAGGAAAGGTCTGTAGGAAGATATACCGCCACCACAAAATTTGTCGAATGACCTGCAAAAGAAATTGGGTTTTTCAATCAATGTTTTAAGCCCCTCTTCACAAATGCACAAGTAAATACTTTTTTCGTGGTATGTGCCTACCTGTAGTGGACAGCACACCAGCTCGAGCAGAAGTTTTGTACAGTGGAGATGTATACAGCGAAGGATCTGGTGTGTAGTTCATCCGGGGTTCCATGTGCAGAATAGGGCACGGCTGAATACAAACACATCGGGAATGCAGGTTTAAGTACATAAATTTTTACGTGTTGCACCCCGAGCAGAGAACTTTTCCAACCAGCATTGATAAAACGAATACTTACCGGGTTCATCTCGCCATCCAAGGCATCCCCCAGCATCATTTTGTCATCATCCCAGCGAGCGGCGTCTATGAATAAACCGTGTACCAGTACTCCGTCCTCAGGAGACTCTATCTCCTCATCCATTGGCAGAGTGTCGTCTGGGCCAAGTTTAGCGCGCGCCTCGCTGACTTCCTCTTGGCTGCGATAGTGAGGCAGAACGTTATAGTGGAAAGACAGCTGGTCAATTGGTTGATTGTACTTGCGAGCGTGGTTTTGAAGTGTTCCGGTCAGGAAACCTGGCAAAACAATATAATCAAGAACTGATTTCTTCATGTAACAACAGTAAGATTGTTAGCGATTAAAATTTGAGCTCATTCCAAAGACATTTTAACTACAATTATCTGAATCGTCTAATGCAATGTGAGTGACACTTAGATGTTTGAAAACTTGCTGGTTCGTCTCTGAGCGGTGTTAAGCCACTTAAAATTATGCTTACGTTTAAACCGCTTTGTGAGCGAATCACATTCGGAGCATCAGCGACAGCTTTAGTAACGATTTGCCAAAAACGACTCAATGACGAAAGCAGAGAGCAATAAAAATAAAAAGTACAGAAAGAAATAAAGCACTCACCCTGAGGATAGAAAAAACCGGAGATCCAAAACGACTTGGGTGCCCCTCGTTCAATCCATTGCTAGAAGGGTAGAAATAAATAACACGCTAGTAAAATGGAGAGATTCAACCAAACTTTAGTATCTGGACCGTGTAGTTGAATAACTTCATGAAATAGAACTAGGAAAAAAAATAACAAACTATTAACATACAGTTTACCTTTCTCGCAGTTCAACCCCGGATTAAAAAAATTAAATTAAAAATACTGGGACACGCTCTCACAAAAATAAAAAGAGGTCACTTACTTCAATAAACATGCATCTGAGAAGCAAATCCTTCACCCACGAACCAAGGGGTTTCAATGATGGATAGGCAGCGTTTGCCCACATTGTTGGAACCTTGAAAACACAAATTTTACAGTTATCTGAGGAAAGACCATGTGAACTACAGTCATAACACCCTTAAACGGACTGACATCTTAACTCGTGGGAGGCAGGACAAAATGGGAGTACAAGCGTCTTTTTGTCTTCAAGTCTACCCTTAAAAGTGACTAACACCTAATTTCTCTATAACAGTATCACCCCTATATCACACAGAAAGGTCACGAAATAGAGGAAATGATCACCAACTAAAGCTCTTGATTGTTGAACATATTCTCCTTGTCAGCACATTAGGAAATGTATAAAGAACAGCATTGAGAATATGCATATTCATATTAATAAAAGATGGAGGGGGACGAAAACGGGGGAAATCGAACCTGACTCACCTGATTGTTCAAAAAGTTTGTGTAAACTTTGTCCAACTCCAGTGACATTACTACCAAACCCTTAATGGCTTTCTGAAGCTGCTGTAGAGAAGTCTAAAAATAAAAAAAGATATCAAACAAGATGTCCAAACTTGGAAGTTTTACAGTGGACGGATACAACACTTGATTAGCACGCGCTTGAGACTCTCCGAATGGATCTATTAAATGTCCTTTAATACAACAAGTGAAAAGAAAAGTCGATATTGAGAAAATGGTCATTTCAGTTACATCAGTCGTAACCTAAATCCAGTTAAAACCCCCGAAACCACACACACACACACACACAGTACCTCTTGGTGTGGCTCGCTCCCAAACGAGCGCCGGCTTCCACACACAATCAGTACTGTTTAAGGATAGACCCGAGTAACGGAAAGGAGATAAATTATTAGCTCACCTTGATAACTTTCAAAAGAGAGTTAAAACGATCCACTTCCTGTCCAAGCACAGTGGTGAGTGAGTTCACTCGACCTTTTTCATCAGTCTGAAATGTAACAAGGAGAAAATTAACAGGGGAAAGATGGCAAAGAATAAGAGCCTACGGCAACGTAAATAGCATCATCGACAAAAACAGAAACATGTGGTTCAGTTCTACTTTTCTTTTTTCAGAACTCCTCTCCCTTCATACCATATCAAAACGTTAGAAAACGAAATGGCTTTTTAAGCTACCATATTACGATAAAGCAAGGTAAGACGAACATCCGATTAGTTTGAATTCTTACGTCAAATATTGCTTTATCTGCTTTCTCCATGTCCAACAGAACAGGCAGCTTGGAGAGAATACTGTCAGCTAGTTCATACACAATCTCGTCACTTGTTTTCCCACTTCCTCCGCTGGCCAAACGAGGCTGTACCTCTAACACTGTAGTAATCAGGGCATTGGTCTCTTGAGTCTGTCGAGTAATGTGTAATGCAAGTCACTTCAACGTTTAATAATTTCTTCCCTCGTGTGGAGATTCAC